AGTTTGAATTTGGGGGAGGGGGGGGGGAGCAATGTTGAGAGCGGGGTCGGGGCGAAGGGGTGCTTTTGCATGCCTGGTTTCGGGGCGATGAGGAGTTTCTGGTTCTCGATGGGGATGTTGAGGGTGCTGGCGATGGTGGAGGAGAGGTCTTGGAGGGTTGCGTCTGGCGGGAGGGTGAAGGTGTGTGGTTTGCCATGGTGGTGGACCGTTAGGGTCATATCTGGCGTTAATGGGTCGGTCATGTTGCAGCTCTTCCAGTCAAGACAAGAGCCCGCGATCTGGATAAAATGAATGTAGTGAAGGGAATGGAGGCAAAGATTTGGAGTTGAATATAAGCCAGAGGCAACAGTTCGATTACCTTCCACGGCGATTGCGTTTGTCAGCGCGGAGATAAGAGATAAGCCGATATGGTCACATGACACAAATGCCTGAGGCAGTAAAGCAGACCCCTGAGCTGCTGAGCTCAGTCCCTCGAAATGATGATGAATGGCGAATTTATGTAATTCGTTGGGATCAGCGCAACCTAATTCACTCTAACTGGCGCACTAGTTGTCTGAAGTTGATCACTAACTGTTTTCGGTAACCTTGGTGTTCTTGAGAATGATCGCGTGCTCTAGGGATACCCCTGGGGTAATTTTTACCTCCTGGATCTTTCAAGAGTGAATGGTGATGGCTTCTCGAGTATGCATGAGCCTGAATCTATGTAAAGAGGTAACGCCGAACGCGTCTGGCTATTTACAGGATGATAGATGGTAGAATACACCAGCGAAAGAAAAGGTCCAAGAACACCAGAAACACCAGCCCATGTAAATCCCGGAAAGCGCAAAGAACTCCTCGGCAGATCAGCGGGCCAAATGCTATATATGTGAATGAGATATATATCCACAGTATGTGAATATGTCAGGGCCAATGTGAGTGGGATGGCCATGTCTGGGATAACTCGGTATGTTCGTAAGGAGAATAATGTCGCAATCACCTCTTCTCATATTGGCGGTCGTCCTTGAGGTTCTCTTTTGTGGCGATTTCGTCGTTGTCAGAAACCCATTCTTCCATGTCAGGATACCATGTATGACTGTATCAATTAGTCACGAGTTCCAAGTGTAAGAATCAGGAGAAATCTTACTTATGGAACTTGGTCCCCGTCAAGGCTTTCTGAGTATACTCTTCGACTAGGACAGAATCGTACTGGAAGGGGATCTTCGCCGGCCCGCCTTCAAAAGTCGTCTTGCGCAGGGGGTAAATGTCCCCTGTCTGATACTGGTGGTTGTTTTTGTCCTGCCACAGAGTGGGTTTCTCCGGCTCCAGCCTACTCAGTCCTGTGATGTCAATGTAGAGACCCGTCCGCCTGTCGATCCACCGAGCATCGATGATGTTGAGCCCCTCACCCCGTTCGCGCTGTCGAGCCCACGGGTTGATGTCGAGGAGGTAGCTCCTCTCCACGTCGGAGTCAGCAGCCGTGTAATGGACGACGGTTTGGTTGAAGCTGTCAGCCATGTGCAGCAGGGTGGTATCCAGCACTTGCGTATCGATATCCCAATCCCAGGGTAGAATCTACACCCGTCGCCGGCGTTAGCTATCAATCCCTGCACTCCTATGCCGAAAAGTAAAGTACCTTGCCGTTCCACCACCACCCCAGCAATGTGCCATGCGCAATCCAAGTCTCAAGGCCATTCTCGTTGAAAAAGTTGAGATAAGCGCGAATCATGTGCGTCAGGGTCTCGGAGCGCTCCTCGTCCGGGACCGGTTCGGTAAAGAATCGCGTATCGTAGTGGCCCAGGATATCGTCGTTACCTGGTTCATGAAAGTACTTGAACTCTTGCGACTTGTTTAGGCCGTACTTTTCCCGCGGGGGATCGTATTCAGGTTCGTGAGTAAGGATCTTGCCATGGCTGACATGTTCCTTGTTGATATTGCTGCTGTCCTGATCGGAGGAGGAGGGGAAGGGAGAAGCCAGGGCTTCTGCTGACCATATCGCAAGAATGCAGAGCCGTAGAATCAAAGTGATCATGTCTGTCGTGAATCACTCGAGTATCGAAGTGGTCAAGAAGGGGTGTCTGTGGCCGGTGAATGTCACGTCTCTGTTCGCATACTGGATTCTCGGAATGCGCCACTGAATATTGCTCGATATAAGGGAGAGGAACGTAGGTAATCTTCAGGCAGATAATGGATGTACAACGGTTGCAATTGGGAGTAAAAGGGAAACGTCGTGATCGCGTGCCCTGAATCAGTACAATTAGACTGCAGTGCCTACGGCTGCCAAATGTAGGGATAGTGTATGAGAGAATGACGATTAAAACAATAAGATTAGATTAGATACAGAACGAGGAATTGAGCGAGAAGAAAGACTAAGAAAGGAATAGGCGAGGAGTAACAAATTATTAATAAGGTAGATAAGTAGAGAGTAGGAAAATTAGCCATGGTTCGTCTGGTTGATCCGACGACTCCGCCAGCCATGGCTTTTCTTCCCAGGAATCGCCTAAAGCGGGGTGCAAAAGGAGATTGATCCACTGATGCTGGAGTAGGACGTTGGTGATAGGGGTGATAAGGCAAGGAGTTGACTGAGGGACCATCTCAGGGACGAGAAAGCACTCCGTATTCCGTGGTTGAAGAAGTAAACGTAGGCGGATGTTACATCATAGGAGACTGAACTATCCACAACCATCAGGATAAGAGGTCAGAATAAGAGGTCAGGAGAAGGAGAGGGAGGGCTCGTACTCGTACTTGGGATCATATCATCAGATAGACCCGACACCACCAAGGCTCCCAGAACGGAAGACAGTGATGTATGTGATTTGATGAAGAGCTGTGGATTATCCCCATCTCCAAGGTTTCTTCACTCCTCCGTCGCGTGCCAACTTGCCGGTTTTGTTCGCTCCACTTGGATACTCCAACTCTCCAAGAGCCAGGAATTCCTCCTACTCTCCTGTTCGATAAGGGCTCTTCAAGTGTTGAAAAGGCGACATAATGCATCAAGATCGTCTACTGGAATCAATCCAGTCTACTTGTCCATTATTATTCACCCTCATTCTGACATACTGTACGGAGTAGTCAAAGTATTCATCCCTGGCTGGAATAGGGACGCACTAAATTACTGCCAAGAAACTAGACGAGGAACAGCATCAGCCATCAAAGTGTCTCCTTCCAGCCACCAGCCACCATCCACCATCCACCTCCATAACCATAAATCAATAATGATAACATCACCTCAAGGCTCGATCACAAATCTCACGTCTGGATACTACATCACCTCTCATTCATAATTGTTACATCCAGAATGCTGTATCCAACAGCCAAGACCGACTCCACATTTAGTGTACACTGTCTGGCTGTCTAGGGCTCTGGGCAGTCCGAGCACAAATTCTCGGCGAAAGAGGAGCCATTTCATCCAGGCAGCACAGCACAATTTGCATACGTACCTTATGCACCAGACTCCTAGCATAAATTATTTACAAGTTACAACTGGAACTTCGGAGCCTCCGGAGTAGTAGATAGGTAACAGATCCCATAGAGAAATCGAGTGGAGTAGACATTAGTAGTATATCCGTAATTAGGTACAAATCGTGTATCAAGTCGTTAATTAATAAGCCCATTCCGCCCATTTCCCCCATTCCGCCCATTCCCGCGCCAGTTTTCTATAACAATCTGGATCTATGCTGGTTTTCGCCCGAAGAATGAAGAATGAAGAATGAAGAACGAAGAAAGAACCGAGGATGAAGAAGAGTGTCTATGACCACCTTAAATGGCAGCCATCACAACCTCCTTCTTCTCCCCATTATTCGCCGTCTTGACACTCTTCCACTCCATCAGCAAGCTGACCGCAAACGCGACCACCACCAGCGCCATACTGACACGATACGAATCCCGCAATCCACTCATGTAGGCCTTGATCACGCCCATGAGCTGATCCGACTGGCCCAATGCAGCCAGCACATGTCTCATCTCCGTGGCGCCCGCCTTGACAATCGCCGTCGGATCAACAGCGGGAGCATACTTGCCAATCCCGGAGATCAGGCCGTTCTGGAAAACGGACTGGGCCACCGCGATGAACAGCGCACCGCCCAGCGTCTGGAAGAACATGACGGCCGCCGTGCCGATGGGGATATCCTCGGCCGGCAGAACGGTCTGGACGGCCGTCATGGGGATCTGGAAGCCGGCGCCGACGCCGGCGCCCAGGACGATCTGGTAGCCGATCCACTTGCCCGTGGAGATGTCGACCGAGTACATGGTGATGAGACCGGCTCCGATGGCGGCGATGGCGGTGCTACCGATCAGGAACGGCGTGTAGTAGCCCGCGACGGTGACGGCGCCGCCCATGACGATCGAGGACACGACGGTGGACAGCATCAGGGGCAGGAGTTGGATGCCGGACTTCATGGCGGAGGAGTTCTTGACGCTCTGGAAGAAGATGGGCACGTAGTAGACGAGGACGAAGAAGGCACCGCCGAAGAACAGAGCATAGAGGGTGGCGGCGAGGACGGTGCGGTTCTTGAACATGCGCGGCGGCAGGGTGGCCTTGTCACCCATTTTGACCTGCGAGTAGGCGAAGAGGATGGCCATGAGGCCGAAGCCGATGAACAGGCCGATGATCCGCGAGTTGTTCCAGGGGTACTTGTTTCCTCCCCACTGCAAGGCGAGCAAGAGGCAGATGATGGCGGGGATGAGTAGACTGGCGCCGATGATGTCCAGCTGCTTGATCCGTTCGAGGATGGGAGTGCCGGAGAACTCGTTCTTGTCGGGGAGTCGGAGGACAAACAGGATGACGGCCAGCGAGACACCTCCAATGGGAAGACTGCAGCGGTCAGTATTTTTTTTTTTTTTTTTTGTCATGGTGGAAAAGGCATGCCGCCACTCACTTGATATAGAAGCACCATCTCCATGAAACACCATCGGTGAACGCACCGCCGAGCAAGGGTCCAGCAATCGAGGCAATACCCCAGACCATGCCAAACATACCGAAAACAAGAGGTCGCTTAGGCAATGGGACTATTCAGAGTCAGCTTGGCGTTCTTTCCAAAAGGCCATACGCAGAATGACCTACCAGTCACGGAGATGATGACCATGGCTCCCGAGAAGATACCCGCAACCCCGATACCCGCAATGGCTCGTCCAACGATCAGAACGGTACTCGACGGAGCTACAGCGCAGATGAGCGATCCGACCTCGAAGATGAGGACGGCTATCAAGAAGCCCCATTTGACCTATCCAGGTTCACCATCAGCAACAAGCCAGCACATTTAGCACGGAGAGGCCACCAACACTAAAGATCTTATAGACCCGACCGTACGACGGTTGCAGCGCAGTCGATGTGAGGAAGTAGGCACTGCCATACCAGGCAATATCTTCAATACTCTTGAACTGATCGGTGATCTTCGGGATAGCGACTCCAATAATGGTCTGGTCGAGGGCTACCAGGAAGACGGCGAGATAGAGACCGAGGATGATGACGACGACCTTGGAGAAGGCAGGGTATTCCGACTCAGGTTCCCGTTCCGTTTCATTGACGGCCAGTTCCTCCTTTGGGAGGCTCTCGACGTCGACGTCCTTGTCGCTGGACGCTGTCATTTTGATTCGTCTGTTGCTGAAGTATGCCGGGTTGTGATGAGCAAGGTCCCTTCAAGCGAAAAAGGAGTACGCCAGATAGCCAGGAGTTCTGGGTTCTGTTCACTTCAACTGAGAAAGCTGACAATCTGACTCCGCAAGGTCACTTCTCGAGATATTATATAAGAATTTTCTCTCTTTCCTCCAGATTATTACGGGCTAGATCGGCGGACGGATGAATCGATTTACCCACGTCAGCACCGGTCTTTTTTTTTTTTTTCTTTTTTTTCTTTCACTTCTTTTTTTAGGAGGCTCACCGGCCATAACGTTAATCTCCATACGAAATAATGAACCACTATCCTGAATCCATCCTGACCCTGACAGAGAAATCTGACATCGGACCCTCGGACATCGGCGGCAAAACACACCGATCGCGTTCAGAATTGCCCTTTTTTTTACTACTTAAGTTAGGCACAGGTCCTGGCGGAGACCCCAAATACGAGGATGGACAGGGAAAACAAGGAGCCAATGATCGGGTCGGCCAGAGTCGGCGCCAGATCGATGACAAATGAGGCTTTGCGCCTGAGTCACAGCCGTCCATCAAATTTCTCTCTAGCCGATTGTTTTGCATTTCAGAGCAGATAAATTGAGATTGGTTGATTCATGGATTGAGTGACTTTGAGCAAGTTGTGTTGCTGTTCGTGGCTCTCTTTGTTGTCCAACCTCAGGGGAGTGAGACAGAGACAGAGACAGGAGATTCTGGAATTATCCGTCCGAGGACACTAACACTAAAAGTCATAATGATGTGGCCATGCTGAAGCCTCATTGGCCAACAGCAATAGAATCCTTGTGCTAAGGTATCAGATCTCAGGTACCTACGTACTAGGCTACTCAATTCCCGAGTCTCTCATTCATCGTGAATTCATGAGTCATAAGCCACAATCAGGAGATAGTAGATGGAATATGCTCAATGTTGAGCTCATTAGGGCTTTGTCTTTATCTCCATGGCAGGATCCCATGGTAACTGTGCTCTGTGCTCACTGCTCGTATTAAGGTATATCCACCAGGAGAGTTTAAGCTCCATTACTTCATATGGCGTAGGCAACGGACTTAAGACTCCTTATCCGACATCATTCTACCGTAACCACGGACTCTCCGTTAAACGAGCTGAATATGAGGTGAGAGTGATTCGATGAGCGTGACAGCTCGTCATGCTTGAAACGCGCGCGCCAAGACCCTTGGGATCGGAAGGGGTGCGACGAGTCGGCCCGCCGGACTTTTCGAGATCCAGACTGACTTGTCGCACTCGCGACTCGCGAAAGCTGAGCCCATCGGAGAAACGCGGCGGGAACACGAGGTCGACACGGTGAGGGTCAAGTGATATGACACGTCAGGTCGGGGGTACCTTCGTAGGGAAGGGTAAACTGGCTGTATCGTTGTACAGGGTTACATTCTAATGATGGACCCGAA